CTATAGAGAATCATCTTGTATTCTTTTGTACATGCCCCAAATTTTGTGTAAGATAGATTTCTAGAGGAAGAACTGCTTGGTTAAAGGTATCTGTGTTTATAATTTGAAAGCTACTGCCAAATTCTCCAAAAAAGGCTCTAACCAATTATACTTTTAGCCACAACATATGAGAGTACATTTCTTCTATTCCTTCACCATTCCAGATATTATAAACTCTTTGGATTTTATGATCTTGATTGGCAAACTACGATTATTTCCTGGCCTCATCTGCATCTCTTTGATACTGAACATTACTAATGTTAACATGGTCAACATCTCTAAAACTATAAAAATAGTATTAGTACATTAAAATGCAATTTCAATGGAACCCTGGACAAACTTATTACTGTATATATTCAAGTATAAGCTGACCTGAATATCAGCCGAGGCACCTAAATTTTACCACAAAAACTGCATTAAAAATGTGCTGAAAAACTTGGCTTATACACGAGTATATATGGTAAACTCTTTAAAGAGTAAGAAAAACAATATGCTGATATTGTTAAAGGAACAATGATATATAATGTAATTTAGAAATAATGTACATTAGAAAAGTACAATAGGAATGAGAAATGTATAACAGAAAAGAGCTAGTTTTTGTTTTGTTTAAAAATGTTTCCAAATACTACCAACAAATTCTGCAATGAATTGGTAATCTTACTGTTCTTTTCCCCTGAAACACACATAGAAAAACTCACTGTACGAAGATCAGTTACAGAGTTTATATCTAAAGCATTATTTCCTTTAGGGGTTAACTGTCTCTTAAACACCAGGAGGATATACATATGCAAGTCCCATTAATATTGCCACATAAATCCCCTTATAGTGAGAAGCAAAAAGGCTCTACAGTCTACTAGGATCCACGTTCTAATGATTACCTGTCAAATGGCCCTAAGGGTCATCATCACTAGAAAGAGCAGAGGTAGCAATTTGTATAGGAAGGGAAGCTCATTACAGCCCCACAGCTAATCTGTGCATTAATGGAAAGAAAAATGGCCTTCAAACTGTGACTTGGGATGCTAAGTGTTAAGATACTTAGCTGGCATTTTTAAAATGCTATCATTAAAGAGAAGAATTCAAACATCAAAGCACTTGCTTAAAAAAAGTGTGAATATTATATGAGCTTCAAGGTGTTTGAAGGATAATAAGGCTACATGTTTAAAAATTCAATTAACCTTATCTTTCTTAAACTTGATTAATAATCTCACAGATAAATTGACATTCCAAAACAGTCCCGTTATCTATTGGGTTCATCTTGTCTGATGAGTTTTTGGAACTACCCACAACTGACAAAACCTCACTTTGCTTTTACTATTTGAGTAAAGAATAAATCATGGTTCAATGAATATATATATATATATATAAACTTTCTTATCTATTATAAGCAAGCCGTTTGGATCTCAATCACCAGAGTGAAAAAAAACATTCAGGTTCTTATTCACCAAGTGATATAAACAACATTTTACATTCGCATCCACTGAAATGAGAAAACAGTGTGTGGGCAATTGTGTTTGTCATCTAATTTGGTGTCAATTTAAGAATTAAGAGTGTAGGGGTGGAGTCTAGGCTGTCAATCTGGAGACAGCCAATGAGACTTCTGTGTGGGCACAGTCTTCTCCTGAGAATTCTGGGAAATCTGGTACTTCCTCCTTGGAGGCAGAAGACACCTCTCTTTCTGCTACTCCCTGGGAAACATTGCAGAAGACAATCCACATGGACACGACCTGACCTCGGAAGCCTGAGAAGCCACAGGGAGACCCCTGTCAGTGCTGAGATGTTGCCAATGACACTGGATCCAAACAAAGACTTTCTACCCACTGGCCTATGATCTTCTGCATTCGGTGTCATTGCATGTGTTTCGTGAGTCTGAAGAGGACTTTAAAGATTGATATCGGAAATAGGGGCTAATATCAGACTTATGGACTTGATCTGGACTGCGATGTTTTCACAATGTTCAATTGCTCTTGTATATAAACCTCTTTCTCATACACATACGTGTGTCCATGGATTTGTTTTTCTAGTCTACCCAGACTAACACAGCGATCGATGTGCTGTAAAGCCACAGTTCCTGCCTCACAAGCTCCATCGCAGATTTCAGATTATGGTCTCATCTACTTTTGTCTGATGTTGACTTCAATTTTGGAATCTCCAAAAGAGTCCACTAATGAAATCATATTCATGTATTCTTTGACTGCCTTTCCCACAAATTGGACACGTCTGGAAACAAAAGCAAGTGTGCAGCTGGACAATGAACTATGCACTTAATGTACTTAAAGTCAAACAAATTATTTCAAAGATGAACTTTAATTTCTTGGCAGATAAACTAAAATTGATGTTAAACAAAATAGGATACCACACTGGAAAAACATTGAAAACAAACTTTTCTTTATTTCCTCTGAGCACTTACTATTATAGTGTGCAAATCATATATCCATGCTTTTTGAAATGTATATAAGATAAACTGAGGATAAAGAGATAAATTACGACCAGTAGTAGTAACTAACTTGCAAGAAAATGATATAGTTTCAATTTTAAAAGGTCACTACTCTTTAGTAATTAAATTTCAACAAACATTTTTTACGGTCTTTTAGATTTTAGACAAGAGAGGTTGCCAACATGGAAACTAGAATTACAATGGTAAAAGTTAATCACGAACATGGCTATTCCTTTATAGACAGATGCCAATCTCATAGACTATGCCTGTGCTATAACTATTAAGATGGCAACTAAAGATTATGAATTAGGAAAAAATTGAAACTGTTAATTTTCCTATAGAAAAATATATATGTCGACCTTTATAATATACATCTGTTTTTCTGGGCAGGCACATCAACTAGAAAAATTACAGCAGTAATGTATATTTAGTAACTGGTTTTCATAATGATCACAAAGCTGAATGGCATTATTATTTTTGGTTAATAAGAAGCATGCATAACGAAGCACTTTAAATATATGAATCAATATTCTTGCATAATTGCCGTTTGTAAAATTTTCAATTAGCTACCAAAATGTTTACATGATGTACAAGATATTTTACTCATATGACTTCAAGCTTAGTTTTACAGTAAAACCAAGCTGTTTTGTCACTTAAACTATGAAAACATTTATTTGTATTAAGATAGCTTAAAAAAAGAAAATAAACTCTTACTTAGAATAATTTGTATTACATTTGAGGAAAATGGGGGATCTTAAGTTCCCTAACACAATGTTGTATTTTTTAACAGCTGAATAACATTGTAATCATCACTAATCATATTCAAGAACTATTAAGAAGCACATCCACAGTATTTTTGATGACAAAAAAATAGCTAAAATAGAGTACAGCACGGGCTGGGCATAAACTCTTAAATATGAGGGGACTCCAAAATGTTCATGGTAAAACAGAACTAAAAGGTAATGAATTTTTCCACTACCTTTCAAAAACTCATTCATTTCTCCCTCATTGATCTACTTACAGATAGAAGTATGGTGATCAGAATCTGCCTGGTTGTTCTGGTTCTATCCTGACATGCTGTTTACATAAATATGGATGTTTCATTCAAGAGTACTTAACTCTAATATTATGTAAAAAATAGCATTTTAACTGGTACAATTTAGAGCAATTGTCTTCACACTCAACACTCTCATATAGTGGCTCTTTGTACATTGCTAGTACTGAGGGAGTAGGACCGATCCTACTCCCTAAGCATGCGTTGGCTGGGTTTCAGGAAACATGATTTGACTTAAAGATCTGAATCCATCGAACAAAATGGGTTATACTGAGAATTTTATGAGAAGAGGGGACTGAAGTGATAGGGGCCAGGGAGCTTTTCCTTTCTTCTAGATTCAGCTATATCTATAGGGCTTGAAAAGGTGAGGCACTATCTACTTTTCTTGGTTCTTTCCATTTTCCATGAATCTGGAACCTGCCAAAGTTAACTTTAAGATTTTCCCTGAGTGCGATGTAACAATGATGAGAAATACAACTTTCCTCGAGTTCCTAAATGTTTCCTCCCCGCTCCCACTACCATGACTCTAATTCTATCTGGCAAGTCTGGCTAGACCAGAGGAGGTACACTGGTACAGATAGGAACTGAAAATACAGGGAATCCAGGACGGATGAGCCCTACAGGACCAGTGGTGTGAGTGGCAAAACAGGGAGGGTAAAGGGAGAGTGGGTAGGAAAGAGGGAACCGATTACATGGAACTGTGTGTGACCTCCTCCCTGGGGGGCAGACAACCGAAAAGTGGATGAAGGGAGACGTCGGACAGGGCAAGATATGACAAAATACCCATTTATAAACTATCAAGGGCTCATGCGGGAGGAGGGAGTGGGGAGGGAGGGGAAAAATGAGGACCTAATGTTGGGGGGTTTAAGTGGAGAGAAAATGTTTTGAGAAACGATGTACAAATGCGCTTTACACAATTGATGTGTGTGTGGATTGGGATAACAGTTGTATGAGCCCCTAATAAAATGTTAAAAAAAAAAAAAAGAAGATTTTCCCGGAAACCTTGAGAGATAGACAACAGCTACTAGTGGACTGGGCGAATAACATCCCCAAGCTTTCCACTGTAACCATGGCTCTTTGCCAGGCAGGCAATAATAGGCAAGCTTGTATGAAAATAAACTCAGTTCTTTGTACTAAAGTTTTCATCTCAAGTACAAATTGCTCACAAAAAGTAGACCATCAGATTTTGGCATTTGGAAAAAATTGAATACAGTACTGCCACTGTAACTAGATTCGTTTCCTCTCTACATCCGTATTATCTTTACGGGTTTTAAGAATTGTTAAACTCTATTCAGAGTACTTGGCGGCTTTAGGTTTACATAATATAAAGTAATATGAAGAATCTATGTTTTTCTTACTGAGATTTCAGATCCATAACTCCATATGTTATTATGTTTACTGGTCTATGCAAGTATAACATTTTAATTTAAGAAACACAATTTCATTTGGAAAGTTTAATGCAGAGAACATATATAAAAACTTGATATATTTTATTAAGGAGTTACCAGTACACAATTATGCAGCATGATATAGTTGACATTCATTAAGTTCATAGAAAAATCCCCCCCAAATTTTCTTCTAGAAACCCATTCCAAGTATGGTGCTGACACATTAGGCAATAAATTATTATTTCCACTTTATATAGAGAGAAACTTAGATTCAAAATTTCATTAATAAGCCTAATATTATCAGTAGCATATCCAGGACTAAATTAGGCCCATAGCTGAATAGACAAAAAGTTGATATTCCAGTTACTTGATTAGACAGAATTTCAAAATATCAGTTAGTCTATGTAAGCCTTTCTTTCCATTGTACATTATTTCATTATTGAAGTTTCTTACTGAATACATGGTTACACATATAAATATCATAACTAATGTTAAAAATAAACAATAATATTCTGCTAGGTAGAAGACACATGATCTGCATGTAAAAATGTTTAAAAACATATAAGCATTGGAAATGCTTCTCAGGTAGAAAATGAATCTCTGTTGCACACATAAACTCCTGGCTGGATTATGAAATTGTTAGTTTTTAACTGCATTTATGTATGCTGCTATCATGAGATTCATACCTGTTATGGATTATGCCTTTCCAAAATGAATTTTAAATCCTAACTCCCTATCTGTATAAAATCCCATTGGGGACCTTTTTTTTTTTTTGTAATGCTAATAAGAAAGCAGAGTGTAGCGCGTATCTTCAGACAACCTCTGTGGAGATATTAAAGAAATTAAACAAGCAGGTAAGCAAACAGAAATGGGGGAAGAAAGATGCCATGTCACGTGAAGATCAGCAAGAAGCCAAGGAATAAAAGCTAAAGAGACAAGGAAGCCTACCCCTGGAGCTCGTGCCCTGATTTTGAGACTGCTGGTCTACATTGATGTTTGGTAAAGACATCTACTTGTGGTAATTCTGTTGTATTAACAACAGATAACTAAGACAATAACCTAAGGAAAATATAACAAAAAATTCAAGGAAATATGTGAATTGATTCTAAAGATGTGATTTTTATACAAAGATTCAAAGTGGCAAGCAAAAGGTGCCCCACAACTCCAGAATTATTAACAATGCATAGGATCGCTTCCATATTCATAGCTTATTCCTGGTGGTCCATACATCTTTAATTTTTATACACTAATCCCAAAGATTTGATCATTTAAAGCAGGCGGCAAGTCAATGTGCTTTACACGGATTTTGTGTTCCTGGAGTGTCCTTCTTAAGGAAAATTCCCCTTTGGATTCCAATGATCATTCTTTGTAATTCTGCACGTCAATTGGCTATTGCTTTTCTAATATTGTTCTCAAACAGAGTTCTTCCATCAAGAAGACTTTGAGGGCAGGAGGAACTTTCAAAGTGGCATACCCAGTTTGGGGTATTTTCTTTATTCAGAGGGTTACAGTGGGTTTCCCAGGAATAGGCTTTTGTTGCAAGTCTCTGAGTTGACCTCTAGGACAGAACTGCATTCCAGAGCCTCTGCTTGTAAACTGGGCCCCTCAAGAACAACGTCTTCAGGATTTGGTGGAGGTGGACAGAAATCTTCATTGGGGCAGATTAGCTGGAAAAGTGCTTCAGCCTTGCAGGGGGGAAAAAGACAAGTTTTTGGACATTAACATGTATGTACATTTCTGGCATTATTTAGAAAAATAAATAAATCATCACACACACCCCCAAATTTACTTAACCAAGTTATAGTACTTTAACAATATATATGATGGGCTTCTTTCCCTATAATTCTATACATGCATATAAGTTCCACTAATCAAGGATGTCAGTAATTGGTCAGATTCATCAAGTAACCAGATTATTAAGAATTTTAGGTCATTCATTTTATATACCAACAGAAATATACTTATCCTTATAGACTTCCCCATAAAGCTTATTTGTACTGGTGTAATGAAGTACATAGTCATTTTAATAAGTCATTCCTCAAATCAAGAGATGTATTCATTATTTTTCATTTATTTGCTTTTCGGGTATTATTTTTCTCCCCCCCCCCCACAGGTTTTAAAGAATATAGCAGTATTTAAGATAAAATAAATGGTTTATGTACAAAATCCTACTTTTATCTGGAGAAATACAGCTCACTGTTAGATATCTAAGGGCACCATTGTATGGAGATTTTATTTTATCATACTGGTAAGAAGTAAAGCTGTGTCACCTCTTTAAAATGTTAAAAAAAACAAAAAATGTCAATTTTGAGGACTAAAGTACACTGACCCAATGACCTCATATGCAGATGAAAACTAGATAATTAATAAGCAAGATTGAAGAAGAATATATGCTTTTGAATTAATGGTGCTGGCCAAGAATACTGGATATACTACCATGAACTGCCAAAAGAACAAACAAATCTGTCTTGGAAGAAGTATAATCAGAATGTTACTTAGAAACGAGGACGGCAAGACTTTGTCTTATGTACTTGGGGCATGTTATCAGGAGAGACCAGTCCCTGGAAAAGGTAAAGTAAAAGGACAGCAAAAAAGTGGAAGATCTTCAAGATGGATTGAAGTGGCTGCAACAATGGAAAAGGTAAAGTAGGTCAGTGAAAGACTTTCAACAAGATGGATTGACACAGTGGCTGCAACATTGGGCCCCAAAATAGCAATTGTGAGGACAGACGGTGGCACCTAACAAAAACAACTGATAACAGAGAGTCATTACTGGGTTTTAAGATATAAGCTTGTTTTAAATAGTATAATTTTTTTTATACAATCACACATGTTCCCCCAATGTACACAGAGGGCAATTAACTAGGCAAAGAGACAAAGTATGGCCCCCCAGCCAAATGTGGCTTGCTACCCATTTTTGTATAGAGCTATATTGGAACAAAGTCAAATTTGTTTACCTCTTGTGTTTGGCTGTTATATACTAAATAATGGAGTTGAACAATTGTGACAGAGAAAGTTTGGGCTACAAAATCTAATATATTTACCACCTGGCCCTCTATTGTTGGTAGAAGGAATTCCCTGCACCAGTTGTTTAAAACTGATCGTTTTGGGGGTGGCTGTGTGCAGAGGTAGGGAATTCTGAGTTTTGATGAGGAGTTGAAAGGAGTAGTAACAGGGAAAACAAGTTTTTTCCCCTTTTTGGTAGATTTCAAGAGTGTTTTTTTTTTAAACATTTTATT